CTGGCAGAAGTAGTTTACAATTTGGTGTTGAAATACAATGTAATAGTATATACACCGATCAGCTGTGTCTGCTGTGTCTGATCCACTTGTACCAGCGCAACACACGCTAACACACCACCACCACATCAATGTTACTGCAGTGCTGAGAATGATCCACCACCCAAATAGTACCAGTTCTATGAGGGTCCATGGGGGTCCTGACCACTGAAGAACAGGGTAAAAGGGGGCTAACAAAGTATCAGAGAAACAGATGGACTACAGTCTGTAACTGTAGAACTACAAAGTGCACCTATATGGTAAGTGGAGCTGATAAAATGGACAATGAGCGTAGAAACATAATGTTATGCCTGATTGGTGTATAATGTATAATAGTAGTATATGTAATATACTACATACAGTATATAGAACATGTATACTATATGTATTACATATACCATATATAGCACGTAATGTACATATTATATATGCTATGTATAGTAAATATGTATAGTAATATATCACATATCGCTGCTGTCGGAAAAAACCTCAAATCTCCATTTTTGCCCATTTTCAGTTTTTAACATAATTTGAAAATGCCTGTTGCCCTTTACATTGTATGTAAATGTCATGATGAATGGACCAAAAGAAATTACCCAAAATGACTTGGAAAATATTCAGGTTCCATTGACTTACATTAAGAGTAAAGTAGGTTTTTTCCTTCTTCTGTAAAGTTTCTATTTTGGAGATAGGAGGTTTTCTACAGCGATATACTATACATAGTACATATAGTATGTACAATACATATTTAGTCTACATATATTATATATACTATATATTGTGAAAAGTATATATAATGTATAATAGTAGCCTTACTTTCATACTTTTTGAACTACGTGTTGTCAATTAAATGCGCAGGAGAGTTAGACTGCTTGTTGTATAACAGTTGATTGCTTAATGTTTACAGAACAGCCACATAATGTGAGCATTCTATATCAATTAAATTTTCTTTTGGAACCATAAGCCAAAATCCATTTCCTCTGAGATGGTGATGCGTGGACTGACGCTGCTCCCTGCTGGTAAACTCTGGATCAGCTGCGGCTCTGTTTTGGCAGTTTCTGATCACGGCTTTAATTGCCAGCTGTAATCTTTTTGCCCAAGGATGATGATGATGTGCTGCCATGAGACCGCCAGAGGGCAGAGCAGAGGCAGTGACCGGGCACAGACGGCATGCCTTTGGTTCTCATGACTATATTTAGAAGATCTACATATCTTCTCTCAAATTAGCATAAATAATAAGTACACAAAACACAACAAGTAGCCTGTTTTATGACAAAGGAACAGTGCCTGTATCAACAATATTGATCTATTTATGGTTAAAAACAGAAGAATCTGCAGAAAATTCACCTCTCAGCCTGAAGAGAAGGGTAATGTACTGTGACCTTGACCCCTGAAACACCAATAATGTCCATCTACATCTATCTATCTATCTATCTATCTATCTATCTATCTATCTATCTATCTATCTATCTATCTATCTTCCGTCTATCCATCCGCCCATCCATATGCTTGCCCGTCTGTCAGTCTATCTATCTATCTATCTATCTATCTATCTATCTATCTATCTATCTATCTATCTATCTATCTATCCATCTGTCTGTCTGTCTGTCTGATCATCTGTTCATCTGTCTGTCCTATCTATCTATCTATCTATCTATCTATCTATCTATCTATCTATCTATCTATCTATCTATCCGCCCATCCATATGCTCGCCCGTCTATCTATCTATCTATCTATCTATCTATCTATCTATCTATCTATCTATCTATCTATCTATCTATCTGTATGTCTATCTGTCTGTCTGTCTCTCTGTCTGTCTGTCTATGTATTGTATAGAAGCCATAGCTATGAGAGCCTGAGTGGTAATCCACACTCCTGCCATTTAACAGTATATAAATGTGACATCATCAAGTGGCATGCCTTTGAATATTTCCTAGCCTGTGTTTAACAGGTTAGGGGTCAAACATCTTGTACATTTAGGTAGCAGCGGGTAGAAAAGGATCTGAGGTGTTTCATCTTCTGTATTCTCTATTCTCAATCTGCCAGGTTGTTTGCTCCATTTTCATAATGGATTTCCCAGGAGGCTGGTTAGTGGAGGAGCTCTGCTATAAGTGCTTTAGAAACAGCATCAGTGTTACAGTGATAAAGGTGACTCACAGATGCGCAGGTTCGTGATGCTGATTTGTGATGCTGCAGAAGAACCACTTTGGACCCCTGAAGAACCTTTTTAGCAGATGGCTCTGTGAAGAGCTCTACTCAGGGAAAAACATATTTTCCTCTTTTTGTTTTTCATAAAAAGACTGATGTAGCATGTATTTTAATTTAAGTACCAAATGTAGTGTTCAGTCTGTGGTCTATACGTTCTATTTATGGAAACTAAGCTGTGAAAACAGCCCGTTTAGAATAAACTGTTTTTGTGATGTCATTAAAATGAACACATTTACATACAGCCTTCAGCTCTGTCCATTAATGCTGATGTTATAAGGAGTGTTTCTGCCTGGAGGCACAACATAGACCAGCCAATCAGAACAAAGTTCATTTACATTGCTGGAAAATGATTATACGTGCTGTTCCTGGCTGTTGGGACATGAATGGATCACTGTGGCCGTCCAAAGGATCCACACATCTGAATTTTCTAGAGGAACAGTGGTGGTGATAGGAACCAGACGTCTGAAGCCTCTAAAAGCTCCATTACAGAGAGTTACTATATCAATGTATTAATTTCAGGGTTCCACTATTTTACCATCATCAACATTGGATATAAAACTCAGACCCATTCGATTTGAATAGTAAATAAAATGGATATATTTGTGTGTAGACGTGGTGACCCCTAGTTCCTATCACCACCACTGTAAAGAGATCTAATTTATGCAGAAATGTTGAAAAATTGGTGGAATTCCAATTTAAAGGCACAGTGACATAAAATGCCTGTCTAATTCTAAGAGAACTGGCTGTTTTTGATAAATAAACCATGCAAAAGTAAGTAAAAAGATGCAATTCAAGATACAATATGGGATCAAAGCTCTGTATGTGCCTTATAAAGAACGAGTGTAATAACAGCATTATGCCTTCCCCTCTTGAACATGAATAGACCCCTGTTCACCTGTAAGACGCATGTGTTTACTGAAGGTCATGCTGTGGCCTCCGTTGGCTGATCTATGATTAGGGCTCATAATTCATCTTGAACGAGGAACTGAGCTGAGAGCTGTCCGTGACAAGGCAGCGTAATGGGGTCTCACTCAGAGGGCAATCATATGAGTAAGCCTCCAGTGATTGTACATGATGTGAGTGTGAACTACAGCACACCTCTTTAACTCTATAGATAGTCCGCTTGGAGGAGCCTGAAACCTGCTTCTTCTCTTCGTTTCCGAGCACTTTGCAAAGTGCCAGAAATCCGATGCTGGCGGTCTATTTCCAGTGCCTGACTCACAGACCCCTGCTGAGGCTCTGATGGCGAGTCCTGACGAGCTTCAAAACGCGTCTGTAGTGATGCTGGCGCTGGATTTAGGGCGCGCCACGTTGGGTTAGTCCCTCTGCGAGGTCACAGCCCGTATACCCTGAGCTTCAGCCAGCACCCTCCACACGGCAGGAGCAAACATGAGAAGATCACGCATAGTGGAGCATGAAATGACCGTATGGCGGCAGCTCGGGCGAAATGTAAGCCTCTGATGGACTTTGCGTCAGTGCTGATTGAGTCTTCCTATGCATTCTTCTGTAAAGTGCTTGGAGAAGGTGGTAAATATGTAGATGTAAAGAAATAAAATGTATTTTATCATCAATATTTTGTGCTGTAGTGAAATATAAACAGAAAAGCATGTGGATATCTGATATTTGACAATCTATGGATTTCCCTTATGTCCAACTTATATGTGACATATAGGCCAACTTATTGGACATTTTCAAATATGGGACATACATTTCAGTCATTTATCAATGCATATAAACATATATGTGTAATACATACATTTAACAATATAAGAATATATAATCTTATATTGTAACAGTCATATATGAATGGCATATTTTAGTCATATAAGTTTTCATTGCATGCATGTTGCTGGTATATATATATATATATATATATATATATATATATATATATATATATATACCAGCAACATGCATATATATATATATGCATAAAAACCATGGCTACAGCGTTTGGCACGAGCTGCCTTATTTAAAAGCTGGCATAATGTAAGTGTGTCAAAGAGTTCATTTCTAGCACCTGCTGGTTTTCTCGTTAATTAGTGGGAGCCGCACGCGAGCACTATCCCTAAGCGAGAATGACAGCTGGAGAAGCGCGCGACGCGCTCACCAGCCACGCGCAAAAGCGCACGTTCCCTTTTGGGAACGCGAAAACAAAGCTCGCTTTCGCGGAGCTCAACTTCAAGCGCAAAGCACCTCTCTCAAACACGTTTAAGGGAAACTCCACCGCTTTTTCCAAAAATTCGACCTCATTAAACGGTTAAGAATCTACATAATTCACTGGTTAAAGTCAGAATGGTTCGCAGTGGTGGTGATAGGAACCAGACGTCCACCTCTAAAAGCTCGCTCACAGAAAGTTATGACATGAAATGGTTATGAATATGATACCTGAGACATTTTTGATGATACAGGGATACAGCAGGGTGTTCTAAAGCAAAATAATCCCCAAAGAAAACATATTTTTTCACATTTATGACTATTATTCCAATCAACGTTACATGTTAAACCTCAGAAGGCACGTGGAGGTTCTACGGTGGTTTTGGATAGTAAATAAACTGGCTACATTTGCGTTGTGGCCACGCGACCCCTGGTTCTGGTTCCGATCAGCACCACTCTCTACAGTGAAGCGTTTCACATAAACCGCTCTGACTCGGTTTGCATCTCAAGCACTGAATTATGCAGAAATTTGGAAAGATTAGTGGAATTCCCCTTTAAGTCACTGATTCAAAGCATTTGTGGTGAAACCTCTCCTTACTTCTCCTCCTCGAGCTGCTGCTGATACTGCTCGTACTCCTCTTGGGTCATTCCCTTCGCTCCAGCCTCGCTTTTTTCCCCTTCGGTTTTCTCCTCCGTCAAGCCTCCGGTCAGGTCCTTCAGCTGACCGCCGATCATGTGCTTGACCATGAAAGCCATCGCGCCGAGCTGAAGTGTTTTTTAACTTACGCACGGAAAGGTTGTCCGCTCGTCCTGGACAAAAGCCACGCGAACTCACCGCGAAAGTACACCAGCAACTTAGAGCACTGTCCAGCAACGTCTCTCCTTTACGGTGAGGAGATAAGGGGGTCTTCCCGTCGTCTATCAAAGGCTTGGACAGCTCCTTTCAATCAGCGAGTTCAGCACCGAGGACAGCTCCTGTCATTGAACGGCCGCCTTCAGCACCTCCGGCAGTGGACAGCTCCTCTCACTGAGCCAACTCTGGAGCGCAGTGTAGTCCAACTGGGTCGCTCCTCCTCAACTCGTAAACTCTACAACGAGCATGTGACCACGTCTTATATACCGTGCCAGGTGTTTGCCTTTGGGTGGTCGTCAGCGAGGAGGGGATGCATATATCACGTGCACGCTACGTGTATGAACAAGCCGGACCAATCACGCTGCTGGAATGGTCAACTAGCAGCCAGGCGTGACTAACACTCTTAAAAAAGGTGGTTCTTCGTGGGTTCTTTATTGAGTGCAATGGTTCTATATAGAACCATGAACACCCAAAAACCTTTTGCATGCTTCAATGGGTCTCTGTATGTTGAAGTGGCTCTTCAGATGTGTTGTATATGGATCTATATAGCACCAAAAAGAGTTCTGCTGTTGTTATGATGTCAAGCTTGTAATAGTAGAACCCTTTTTGGTGCGATATAGAACCATCTTCAAGATTCTATATCTATACAGAGCCTAGACAGAGGTTCTATACAGAGGTTCTATACCGAGCCTATACAGAGGTCCTATAGAGAGGTTCTATACAGAGACTATACAGAGGTTCTATACAGAGGTCCTATACAGAGCCTATACAGAGGTCCTATACAGAGGTCCTATACAGAGGTTCTATACAGAGGTCCTATACAGAGCCTATACAGAGGTCCTATACAGAGGTCCTATACAGAGGTCCTATACAGAGGTTCTATACAGAGGTCCTATACAGAGCCTATACAGAGGTCCTATACAGAGGTCCTATACAGAGCCTATACAGAGGTCCTATACAGAGCCTAGACAGAGGTCCTATACAGAGGTTCTATACAGAGGTCCTATACAGAGGTCCTATACAGAGCCTATACAGAGGTCCTATACAGAGGTCCTATACAGAGGTCCTATACAGAGCCTATACAGAGGTCCTATACAGAGGTCCTATACAGAGGTCCTATACAGAGCCTATACAGAGGTTCTATACAGAGGTTCTATACAGAGGTCCTATACAGAGCCTATACAGAGGTCCTATACAGAGGTTCTATACAGAGGTCCTATACAGAGCCTATACAGAGGTCCTATACAGAGGTCCTATACAGAGCCTATACAGAGGTCCTATACAGAGGTCCTATACAGAGCCTATACAGAGGTCCTATACGGAGGTCCTATACAGAACCTATACAACCTATACAGAGCCTATACAGAGGTCCTATACAGAGCCCCTATACAGAGGTCCTATACAGAGCCTATACAGAGCCTAGACAGAGGTCCTATACAGAGGTCCTATACAGAGGTCCTATACAGAGCCTAGACAGAGGTCCTATACAGAGCCTATACAGAGCCTATACAGAGGTCCTATACAGAGGTCCTATACAGAGCCTATACAGAGGTCCTATACAGAGCCTATACAGAGGTCCTATACAGAAGTCCTATACAGAGGTCCTATACAGAGCCTATACAGAGCCAGTCAGTGCTCCCTGAAGCCTGAGGCACTGATAGCTTTGAGAAGGTTTCAGAAGGTGGAGAGGTACATGCAAAGCAAAATAGTGCCCAAAGTAATCCTGTTTTAAACAGTGTAGGTTTACTGGTCATGTTGGGCAATAAATACAATGCTTATACTTGTGATGACATCAAGACCACCCCTGTAAAGGAAACATCTGAGGAGGTGAGTTTCTCTAAAGTGCACAATTTCACACCAAACCACTATGACTGCACAACTGAACCATTGAATTATGCAGAAATGTGGAAAAATTGGTGGAATTCTCCTTTAAGCTAACTGAACAGGCAGTTATATCTCTATTGTGAGCACATTATACAGAAAACCAGAGGTTATATGAAGGGCAGTTCCACCAATATTTCCACGATGTCTACATAATTAAATGGTTAAGATGTAAACAGTCATTCAGTGGTTTGGTGTGAAATGCTCTGTTCTGGAGAAGCTTACAGAGTCAGAACTGTTCACAGTGGTGGTGATGGGAACCAGACGTCTGAAGAGTTTATTGCTTCTAAAAGCTCCCTCACAGAAAGTTATTACAATATATTTTCAGATTTATCACTATTTTACCATCATCAACATTGTATATAAAAGCTTAGAAGACTCGTGTAGGTTCACTAGTGATTTTGGATAGTAAATAAAATGGCTATATTTGTGTTGTAGACATGCTGACCCCTGGTTCCCATCACCACTGTAAAGAAACCTGAGTCCCTACAATCAACCATTTCACCAAAGCACTCTGAATGACTCTATTTGCATCTCAGTGATTGAATTCTACAGAAAATTTGAAAAAAATAGTGGAATTCCCCTTCAAGCTGCCTCACTGTTGATGTGAAACTTGTATGACACTCATTTTTTACCATTTTGCAAACACTTTGAGTGCAACGTCCTTCTTGTTCAGGACCGGCTTCTGACGTTCTGAATGTACACATGCGTAACCCATTCGTGGAAAGTGGCTCCATACTTATTTCAGCGCGGGCAGCGCCCACGACGTCGAGCTGCTGACGATTAAATTGCAGCCGCGCGGGTTTGAGATGAAGGGGCGACAGCTGCAGTCCACACAGTAAACCAACACGAGGGTTTGCGGAGGAATAACGAGCTGTCTGAAGTAGGACTAAGTCAGAGAGGACGGGATAATAAAATGGTTCCCAGACGTCCATGAAGGGCAAGCATGTGTATTTAACCCAGTATATGCACCTACCCACTCAAGAACGCTCAAAAAAGAGGCTGGAAGTTTGTTGCTCAGTATTTGAAGGATTTGGCATAACAGTTAAAGGGAAATTCCGCAGAATTTTCCAAAGTTCTGTATGTTCTAATGGTTAAGATGTAAACAAAGTCATTCAGAGTGGTTTGATGTGAAATGCTTCATTCTAGAGAAACTCAGATTGACCACTACCTTATCATATACGTATATATGACACCATATGTTGTGGCCCCTGGATCCTATCGCCACCGCCGTACAGAATCTTTACAGTGGAATCAGTAAGTTTATCTAGAACGGAGCATTCCCATCAAACTCCTCCAAATGACTTTGTTTACATCTCGACACTTGCATTCTGCTGAAATTTTTAGAATTTTGGTGGAATTCCCCTTTAACTGCAATGCAAGTCAGGAGTTCAAAATACATACAAACTAAATTAATAACAGCCTCATTTTCAGGCTTGTATTTGTAATAAATACTGATTGGTCCCATTTTAAGAGATTATCTGTGAAACATCATGAAATCAGGACATGAATAAAGGGAAGACGCTCTCTAGATATGTGATGTCACCATGCTTGGTGTGCATGACCCCAGCCTTGTGAGCAATCAAAGAAACCATCACTCATGGCTGTGCGGTCAGACAGCATCACATTATGGCCATTTTACAATAGGATCAAATACGAGTGGTCAGGCTGGGCTATACGCGAGGCCTCGGCATGACGCACGGCTGGACAAATACATGCAAATTCCTTATAATAAAACCTTATATAATGCCAACGCATGAGTGCACCCCCTGCCCACTGCCCCCACCCCCATGCATACAGAGAAAGCGCCTGACCGAGGCCACAGCTGTTTCTGTCGCTGCCTAGCTTTGCAAATATGTCACTGTGGAATGCGCTCGCTGGGAGTTTGTTGTTGTTTGTCCTCATGTCTCTTTCTGTTTCTGGATGAATGAGGTCAGTGGGGCGCAGACAGACAGTCAAACAGCCGTTTAGTGACGGTGCCACGCGACATTACCTGGACTTTCGTTTAGCCAAAATAATGACAATACAAACAATGAATACAAGCAGTCATGATTAAAGGAAGAGTTGATTGATTTTCAACCTAATCTCAGTCTGCTGTGTCTGTATGATGCAACAAATTACCACAGACAATAATTTCAATGTTTCCCGGTACTTAGAACTTAGAACTGCTTACTTAGAACAGTAACGAAGTATACTTATAATGGAAACCAGTGGGCAGATGCTGATGAAGATGAAGAATTCTGCAGTGAAATGTGTTTGTAAGTTATGAATTTTGATTAAACAATGGTCGGTCTGTATAATTTGAGCCCTGCGATGGACTGGCAACCTGTCCAGGGTGTATCCCGCCTTCCACCCAATGACCGCTGGGATAGGCTCCAGCACCCCTGTGACCGAGAAGGATGAGCGGTTTAGAAAATGTGTGTGTGTGTGTATAATTTGTTCTGTCAAAGTTTTCCAGAGGGTAGACTTAGGCCCAGTCCCATTTCACCCCTCGGCCCTACCACTTAGCCCTTACTTCTTCATTTTGCACGTTCACGTCTAGGGTAGAGTGTTCTGATTTTTGTTGAGACAGAAGGGTAGGGCGAAGTGTTAAGGCTACATGATCCTCCAAACAGAGGGTTTTCAGAGACTCCAAACAGAGAGATATGAGAAAAAAAGAAAAACTGGCAAGATGGCTGAACAAGAGACCAAAGAAACCCACAAATGTGAGAATTTTCTCAGTTAAAAATATGATAACCATTTATTATCTTAGTCATTTCAATGTATTTTGGTCCTTTTCTTCATAACAACCATAAAGATTGCTAGTAGTATGTTGATGTCTCATTAGCTAGCTAGCTAAATTTCCCATTCCACCTTAAATGCTGCAGCAATTACATTATGAAGCCTCAGGCATCAGAACTGCTGCTCCATTTAAGGTGGAATGTGAAAATTCGAACAAGAAGCTGGAGAATAACTGACTTCAGCTTCATATCACTGAGGAATTAGGGGGTGGGTGATGGTAAATAATTGTCCCCCTCTTTGAAGGCATATGATGCCCTTAATGTAACTAAAGCCCAGCAGTGAGGAGCTGAACTTTACCCTCCTCTGCTGTCACTGCAGACTGGCAGGGTCGCCTACAGAGCAGCGCTAGTAGCTGTTAATGAAGTAATGTTTTTCTTTATTTCAGGGTTCCATTTCATAGGGGAAGATTTCAACTACTACCCCTTGTAACGCAGTTCCAAGGGCCAAAGTGACACTCGAAAACAAGGGGTAGGGTGATGATAAAAATGGGATTGGGCCTTGGTGGTATTACTCTATCAGCATAGTGGGTGGAGTTTTAACAGACTGCCTTCTGCCGTCT